GGGAAGATTTTTTTTTTTTAATATTGAAGTTAAAAGCATCAATCTGGTGCACTTTGAGAGCAACATTAAGAGATGTTAATAAAATCTGTATACGTTTTTTGGGAGTTTGATTTATTTTAAATTAACAAAATTAAAATCTATAATTGCACACTAGAACCATTATTTCAACAAAAAAACTATTTCACATAGACCTCTGGTTTTTACTGAGGCTGGGGCAGTTCAACTTGATTTGGGGGGGGGTGCGCCATAGTTTATGGGCGCTGTATGCAATATAGGCGTAGTAATGTTAGTATAAGATAATAAGATGTACTTTGTTGATAAAAAATCGGGAAATTGTGTTGTTATGAAATTAAAAAATATATTTATATTTTTATTTTTCAATTTTCGGCGCCCACCATTGATTGATGCGCCCTTAGCATTCGCCTATACTGCCTATGCCAAGGGCCGGCCCTGCATCTGTGTTGAATCCTACCTCCTTAAGCAGAGCTCTGCAACCCTGAACATGTAGAGAATCATGAAATAAATAATATTATCTTAACTGATTTTGTATCTCTGTGTTTTGTCCACAGTCCAACAAAGTGTCGGTGGTACAGCAGTCTCACGGGATGCACCCCTTGACGTCACTCCTGCCCTACAGCAACGAGCACTTCAGCCCGAGTCCTCCACATCTGCCCACAGACATGAGCCAAAAGACAGGTGAGAACACACACACACACTCACTCACACATTTATATACAGCTGTTAACCTGGACGCAAACACAAAAGAGAGATGTTCACACATATTACATAACACAGCCTTTTGTACTTATGTTGGATTTATTTTTGTATAGTTTCACACTTTTAAGAGTGACACACACACACACACACACACACACACACACACACACACACACACACACACACACACACACACACACACACAGACATACTCCAGAGAGCTGCTGAATTGTTTCTGAAACCCTCTTCCACACACACACTGTTTGTACTGTCAACACATCATTCATCTCATTGACACACACACACACACACACACACACACACACACACACACACACACACACACACACACACACACACACACACACACACACACAAATCAATTTAATATACCAATATATTCATATTCTTGCTATATCTTGTCCTGTCCCTCTCTTAAACACACACACACACACACACACACACACACACACACACACACACACACACACACACACACACACACACACACACACAAACACCACTCACACAGCATGGCACGCACACAGTGTGTGAAGTGGCAGCACAGGCACCGTCAGCCTGTGGCAGTTCCATGGCTGCTCTGAAGTGGCCTGCTCCTCTGAAGGGACTGCCAGCCACACACACACACACACACACACACACACACACACACACACACACACACACACACACACACACACACACACACGCTCAAAGATGGAAACAATTAGAGTGACAATCGCACAAGCCATCGCTGCTGCAGCACACACACGGTTCTCTTTAGCCGGCGCTGAACATACAAACACACACTGCACTCTGTTTGAAAGTCACAAACAAACACACCCTGACATTTAAACACAGTAGGATTTGTGCCTTTTCGAGAGGCGGGGATAAAAGTATGGCAGTTTTGGATTGTCCAAGACTTGTCCAACAAAAAATATCAACTGTTCACCACATTACTGTTTAATTTGCTGAATGTATTAATGAACTCCATAGGATTTGGCAACCTCATCATCTTTCATGGAGCCACACAGATTTTACACATCAAAGTCAGTTTTTAGGTCTTGGGGAGTTCTGCTGCATGTTGGGAAAGATGTATACAGCATTTTTATGGCTCCAGAGGGAGCTAAGCAAAATCTGATTCCAAATGAAAGAAAAAGGAAAAAAGCTAGAGGTCTAGAGTTCAAAACATCACATTAGTTCAGATATCATTTCTGCCTGAGGCTAGCGGCTAGCAGCTAAATAAGCAGCTTATAGACAGGGCTCTGACAATATGTCGAATAACATAGTGGTATCTCTGATTCTATTGTCTTTGTTTTTTTTATTTCAACTGACCATCCTGAGTCTGATGATGTTATGTTAATGTAAAAATATATCTGTTGAGTGCTTGTTCATGAATACATGTCAACGCCTTGCTGGTTGTCCATTCATATCAAAGATGGTGGTTCAATACATGGCTTCTCCTTTCCACACGTTGAAGAGTCTTTGATACAAATCTGAAGGACACATTGCCTCAATTGCCTTGTGTTTGTGTGTGTGTGTGTGTGTGTTAATGGGTGGATGAGTTTGAGCCACTCACAAAACATCTTAAAACTTGCCTTTTTCGTACCATTGTATTTGTATTGCATGACATCTTTGGTACAAACCTCTCTGAAAGGCATTTTTTATGCTAATGCGCTCTCGTTGGATGCGGAAAGAGGGGGTAAACCAAGAAAAGGCTCACGGTCACATCTTCATACAGCTGACAGCCATGAGATCACTCCCTGATATGGTGAGGTGAAATTCATTGATCCATTGACACTCCCTGAAAACTTCACAGAGTGTATAAAGCGTCAGTTTGTAAGAACGACTGCAATTGAAGGATTTCGACAGTGATGATGAAGACTCTTTTTCTGAGAAGAGTGATAAAACGGGATGAGATTAAAAGGTTGGACAAAAGTATTTTCCCGGCTCTGATTAGATATTGGAGTGGGACCTCAGGCAATCATCTGCTCCGTCTGGAAACCCCCGTTATCCCACAAAAACACTCCCCTTGTCCCGTCTAGACTCTTTGTGTGTGTGTGTGTGTGTGTGTGTGTGTGTGTGTGTGTGTGTGTGTGTGTGTGTGTGTGTGTGTGTGTGTGTGTGTGTGTGTCCAGGACTGACGCTAGCACAGTGACTCAGCCCTTAATGACAGACTGAGCCACCTGCTTCTAACAAATCCTTACACATACACACACACACACACACACACACACACACACACACACACACACACACACACACACACACACACACACACACACACGCACACTCAAACACTGCCACACGTAACCTTTCTAACACGATCTCACCTGAATACTGACTGGGTTTCCAGTCAGGAACATTTTACAGTACACACGCATACACACCTCATATCTTTTGTCACCTCTCACAGGTAGGGTTACCTCATCAGTGATGTCATTTGTCGGCACACCTATATCTACTCTTCTGTCCTGCTGCATCACTGAGCTCATCATAGTTGGTCTGTTAAGAAAATAAGAACATAAAAGCTGAAGTGTATCGAAAGCCGATCAAAGGCTCTTGAGTCCTAGGTGTCTGCAGTAGGAGAACTGAAAATATATAATACAAGTTTTAGGAACATAGTTTGATGTATAAACTAAAACCTTATGTTTTGTCCAATTTTAAATCATATTTTCAAAGAGCTATTTGATATTTCATGGGAGTAGTCACAGGTTTGTTTCTGCAATTTGTGACCAGTTCGACCAAATTGCTCCAAAGTTTGACAGATTCTTCGTTGGTCCATGCTTAACAGCTTCCCCAAATCTCCGGTAGTGTTTACGTTAACCTGGTGAAAAAATTCCAGGTTTACTTCTCTTCCACTTTAACAATAAAGTAAGTTTAACTTTACAATAAGACTACCCTTATAAAGGATTCATAAAGGGTTTATAATTAGGTTGTAAACACTTTAATCATTAAGAACCATTTATTAACCAGTTCTAACATAGTTTTCATACATCAACACAGGCTCACTATTTTGCAAGATGACTAAGCCTTATATTGGCTACTTAGCGAGAATCAACTCGGTGAACAACAGATACCAAGGATGCTGGCTGATGAGGAAGACGAAGTAAGCTAAGTAGCCAATATAATTAATTAATTAATTAATTACAAACTATTCGTAAACCCTTTATAAGGGTAGTCTTATTGTAAAGTGGTACCGTTTAATGTTTGTTAATAGATCAAAAGATATTATGATTTAAAATGTTTTCTGTGAACAATTATACATTTCGTCAGAGTTCACCTTTGTACATATCTCCTATTATCATCTCTTGTCCTTTCTGTGCTCTGCCAGTTCCTTTGTCTCACTCTGCAGCCTATAATTATACCACTCATGCATGACTTCAATGTTAAGGTTAAAGAAAATCAAACATGTGATTACCATTTTCCTTCTTTACTTCTCTAATCTTTTTTGAGCCTTTTGTGTTCTACATGATCGCAGCAATGATTTGTGAACCATGAGTATAACATTTGAAATGTAACTCCTTTTATTCTGCATTCAGAGGCTTCATGTTGGGATGTTCCTGTGAACTCAGCTCATTCTAGATGACAGGCGCTTACTGTAATAACTGTAGTGGTATATTTGTGCACAAGTGTTCTTTTGTTTGTTATATTTCTGCTCACAGTTTGCAACTCTTCCTTTAACCCTTTGTTGTGCCGTGAGATCTCACTTTTTTCTCACATTTCAGTTTACTTCCTGTGTTGTTACCGTCAGCGCCCACTGTCTGACTGTTTAAAATTACAAAACGTTTCTGGGGAAGATTTCTTTGCATCACTTTATAAAGCACAATATTGTCAACAGCAATCATGTTTTAGGAATACAAATGTTATAAATCATGTATGCCTGATATATGAAAAACCCCTCTATTAAAACAACTTTAGAAAATATGTTTGCTCAGGGTGTCCGCGGGGTCTTAAAAAGTATTAAAAGTTAAGGCTATTAAAAAGTATTAAACGGCATTTTTCAAGGTATTATTACATTGTGTAGCTTGTTTTCAATAAGTATATAAATTGTCCAAAGAGGTTGTATTCTACAGTCTGCCTGAATTTCAGGCAGACTGTAGAATACAACCTCTTTGGACAATTTATATACTTATTGAAAACAAGCTACACAATGTAATAATACCTTGAAAAATGCCGTTTAATANTCCCCTCCTCAGTCCTCCGCTCGCATCTCCTGTGGGCGGGACTAAGTCTCGAGGATAGGAGTCAAGGAGGGGAGTCGAGGAGGGGACATTTGAGAATTGAGAAGCCTCTAGACAGACCGTGACAGACTACAAGTAAATACAAATAAATCATAAATATAGTTCAACAAAATGTGTTTCCTTAAGCAGCTGGGTAATGCAGTTTTAAGGAAACATTACATTGACAGGAATCAAATGTGCATTTGATAAGGATTTATAATCAATTTTTGTAATTTTGTGAGTATTTACATCAGGAGGATGTTTATTGGTCTGACCCAAAATAAACTACACTGTCAGTGTTCATGGTAAAAACACTGATGTGTTTCAAATTGTTTTAGGATAACTAAATGGACGATATATCTTAAGCATAGAGGAATGAGATGTATTTGGCTTTACATGGAAACTAGTAGTTAGAGGGATTAATTCATTGTTATCTTTGGTCTTTTTCATTAATTAGTAGACGATAAGAAGAATACAGGATATAACTAGCTTATTTTTAAATTATACTCAGAAATGCAGTGAGAATGCAGAGCGCTGAGGTAACTGAAAGATGGTTTTTGCACCTATTTATTCTCACTCAGTAACACCTGGCGCTCATACGAGACCCTACAGAAAGTGTTAATGCGTGTGCATCTTGCACATTAAAGTGTGACTGGGAGTTTCATTTCCACTCTTTCTTTCTGTATTTTGCACTCTATTGTTTGAGCCAACAGTCAGATCTGAGAACCAGTCAAAGCAAAGTGACGGTGGAGGATC